CTCATAAAAATGTACACTTCGGTGTTGAAAGATACATTTCTTCGATAGATAAGTAATATTTGTTTAAATCACACTAATTACACTTTAAATCAGTTAATTTTCTTCATATAAAGTTTCAGAAAAGTACATTTTATTTTTGAAAGATTTTGTAATTAAGAGAATTGTTCAGGTGTGAAAATTGCGTCCAAGCACTTTTATATTTACAGCCGCCACTTTCTCACGACGTGAAGTGGTTTCCTTTCGTCTTTTCTACAAATATGTCCATAGCAACTGCTCTGACGAGCTATTTTCACTGGGGCCCCAACTGCATGACTTTAAGTGTGATACTAGGGTGGCATTTCGGTCCCACCCTTTTATTGACAAAACAGTTAAATTTAAGACACCAACAGCTTCTTCTCTTGCACTTCCCTTCCTCTTACTTGCTTCACTGATAATTATAACCTTCAAACATTCAAATGTAATGCCAATCGACATCTTCTGATGACTTGATACCGTTCCTTGTCCTTAAACACCCCTCTTTACTCTCACTTTGTATAACCCCTTGCGTGCTAGGGGCACTTCCACTTTGCTTGGGGTGAAATGCTTAAAACAAAATATTAATAACTACTTTACTAAGCATCTCGTCTACGGTTACTTTCTCATAGATGGGATGTGGCTTCCCTCTGTCTTTTCTACAATTTCCTGGAAATTGCAATGACGAGCTATTTTCCATGGTGTCCCAACTGCATTAATTTAAGCAAGATACTAGTTTGATATCTCGGTCCCACCCTTTCACTATCGAAAAAGTTAAATGTAACCGCCTCTTCTACTCCAACAACTTCTTCTTTAGCACCTCCTGACAGTGGAACTCCCTTCCTCTTACTTGCTTCCCTGATAGCTATAATCTTCAAACATTCAAATGTAATGCCAATCGACATTTTCTGATGCCTTGATCCTGATCACCGTCCTTCTCTATATCCTTTTCATAAACACAACTGTTTACTCTTACTGTCACTTCCTGTAACCCCTTGCGTGAAATGCTTAAAAAAAATAAAATAGTAACTCCTTTACTGGCATCTCGTCTACAGTCACTTTCTCACAGATATGATGTGGCTTCTCTCGGTCTTTTCTACAAATAATTTCATGGCAACTGCTATGCCGAGCTATTTCACTGGGTCCCCAACTACATTAATTCTGGATTGGCACCTTCGTCCCGCCCTCCCCTATCGAAAAAATTAAATGTAACCACCTCTTCTACTCCAACAGCTTCTTCTCTCGCACTTCCCAACAATGGAACTCCCTTCCTCTTACTTGCTTCCCTGATAGCTATAATCTTTAAATATTCAAATGTAATGTCAATCGACATCTTCTGATGCCTTGATCCTGAACCCCGTCCTTCTCAATATCCTTTCCACAAACACCCATGTTTACTTTTACTCTCACCCCTGCCACCCATTAGAATGTCTGATGCTCATCTCCACGAGAGCACCTCTTTATGACTGTTCGGTCTCACACTGTCCGCTGACCTGAGATGGAACAATTACATTGAACCAATAGCTTCATCCATCGCAAGGAAAGTTGGTTCCCTGTGTCGCGCCAAAAGGTTTTTCTCGCCTGAGTCCATCCTTTAAATCAACCATTCGCCCTTGCATGGAATACAGCTGCCTTATATGGTCTGGAACCCCCGCAGTTCATCTTAAGGTCCTCAACAAAATCCAGAGACGGATAATCAACGTGGTTGGTCCTGATCTGGCATCTCGTCTTCAGTCGCTCTCTCACAGACGTGCCGTCGTCTCCCTCTGTCTTTTCTACAAGTACTTTCACGGTAACTGCTCCGTCCAGCTATTTTCGCTAGTTTCCAGACTGCATGAATTTAAGCGTGCTACTAGGCTGACATCACGGCCACACCCTTTCACCGTTGAAACGATTAAATGTGACCGTCTCTTCTACTCTAATAGCTTCGTGTCTCGCACCTCCCGTCTGTAGAATTCCCTTCCTATTACTTGTTTCCCTGATAGCTATAATCGCCAACTATTCAAATATAATGTCAATCGACATTTCCAGATGCTCTGACCTATTCCCTGTCCTTCTCTTCATCCTTTCCTCCATCACGCCTCTTTACTCTCGCTCCCACTCTGTAACCCCTTGCGTACTAGTGGTATCCCGCCTTGCTTGGAGTGAAATGCTTAAAAAAAACTCCCTACACCCCTTACGTGCTAGTGGAAAGCCTGCCTAGCTTGGAGTGAAATGCTTAAAAAATAAAATAGTAACTCCTTTACTGGCATCTCCTCTACAGACATGATGTGGCTTCCCTCTGTCTTTTCTACAAATATTTTCATGGCTACTGTTCTGACGAGCTATTTTCACTGGGGCCCCAACTGCATTAATTTAAGCGTGCTACTAGGTTGGCATTTCGGTCCCACCCTTTCACTATCGAAAGAGTTAAATGTAACCGCCTTTTCTATTCAAACAGCTTCTTCTCTCGCACTTCCGGACAGTGGAACTCCCTTCCTCTTATTTGCTTCCCTGATAGCTATTGTAATGATTGTTTTAAATCACATTAATTAGACTGTAAGTCAGTTAATCTTCTTCAAATAAAGTTTCAGAAAAGTATATTTTATTTTGAAAGATATTTTAATAAAGAGACTTGTTCAGGTCTGAAGATTGTGTCAAAACATAAAACAGACTGTTGCCGTTCGGTGTTGACCTCAGTTTCTCGCCAACTTTACGTGGCTTCCCTCCTTTTTTCCTACATATATTTCCAGTGAAATTATTATAATTTCAGGCGAGCAACACTCTGTGCTTTCATAGCCTCACGTTTCCCACTAACATGAAGTTGAGCAATTATAATGTAATCCATCCTGACCACCATCTTGACTTCAGTCTTTTTTTTTTACCTACGTCACGTGGCTTCCCTCTGTCTTTTCTACAAATACTTTCATGACAACTTTTCTGGTGGATTTTTTCCCTGGGTCCCCCACTACATGAATTTAAGCGTGCTACTATATTAGCAACAAGGCTTCTACTTTAACAGTTTATTTTCACGAACTCCTCACCTGTGGAACTCCCTTCCGATTTCTTGCTTCCCTGATAACTTCAAACTTCAAAAATTTAAATGCAACGTCAACCGCCATTTTCAGTCACGACTTCAGTCAATTTCTCGCCAACTTTACGTGGCTTCCCTCTGTCTTTTCTACAAATATTGCCATTGAAATTATTATAATGAGCAATTCTCCTTAGTGTCTCGACTACATAAATTTAAGTGAGCTACTAGATTGGCAATTAGGTCTCATTGCTTTAATCTTCTACAAATAAAGTTTCAGAAAAGTATATTTTATTTTGAAAGATGTTTTAATAAAGAGACTTGTTCAGGTCTGAAGATTGCGTCAAAATATAAAACAGACTGTTAGCGTTCGGTGTTGACCTCATTGTCCATTTTTATATTTACATATGTCAATTTCTCACCGACGTGACGTTGCTTCCCTTTGTCTTTTCTACAAATATTTTCATGGCAACTGACGAGCTTTTTTTCTGGTGCCCCGACTACATGAATTTAAGCGTGCGAATTGGTCACACCCTTTTGCTGTTGAAATAGCTAAATATAATCTCAACTTCTACTGCAGCAGTGTCTTTTCACGCACTTCCCGCCTGTGGAAATCCCTTCAGATTTCTTGCTTCCCTGATAACTACAATCTTCAAACTTTTAAATACAACGTCAATCGCCATCTTCTCTCTTCTTGAATCCCGTTTATCTTCATCCCTTTCTTCAATCCTCCCTACTCTCAGTCTTCTCTTTCACTCGCACTCCCTGTAACCCCTTTCTTGAGGTGAAAGGAGTAAAAAGACCTCTATCCCTGATATTGAGCACTTTTATCTATAAATATAACATACTTTAAAACTATATACAGGGTGCGAAAGGTAACTTGCCGCCATTTTATATTTTTAATTTCGCGCATGCGCGTTGTTTGTTTTTGATTTTGTCGAATACATTCTATAGTAGAGTCAGTTGGGCACCTTTTGTTAGAAAAAGAGCACCATGACGCAAATCCCTCCGCTAGAAATTTAGAAACGGCTTCTTGTGTGGCTTGGAATTCGCACCGAAAGCTTCATTACGAACATTTCAGAGTGTCTGGCTGTCAATCTGGGGACAGCGCAGAGAATTCGGAAAGATTTGGAGGGTATATCCAGTCAACGTCGTGCTGTTTGGACTGATCACTAGTGATAGCGACATTATTCATCTTCCCACGGGACCTCAGAGTCAACACGGAGGCCTACATAAAGTTTCTTGAGGAGGTAGAGCTTACCCGGGTCAAGAGAACGGCTGTTGAGTAAACCTATATATGTCTACAGGACTCTGCACCATGCCACACAAGCAGGAAAACCCAGTCATGGCTGTCCGACATTTTTTTTTACCTCATCACCCTTTCCATCTGTCCGGCTAACTCCCCAGACTGCAACCCCCTTGATTATTATGTGTCTGGCACAGTTGAGTGAGAGACCAACAAAACTCCCTGTAACGCCAAAGATGAACTGAAGACAAAGAATATGGTAGTGTTCACCAACGTAAACAAGTTTTCCATCCAGAAGTGATGCAAAAGTTTCCGAAGTCCTCCGGAGGCGGTGGTTGCAGCCAATAGCGATTTTAGTGAATAAATTCACTCTTTAGTATTTCTAGATACTTTTGCGCAATTTTGGTAAATTAAAAGGAGATGTTAGTGTTACTTTCATTTTTGCGGCATTTTGACAACAATTTACGCATCACACTATATAATGAGCGTAACAAAATTGTCGAATTCGTGTAACAGCATAATTGTCCATCCGAAAAAAATGTTTAATATCTAAAATCTTGAAACTAAATGGGGTTTTTTTTCTCCAGGTTTTCAGAAAAGGCGTTTAGCTATCTTGACACCATTTGTCGTAAGAATCACTGAAAAAACCTTTGAGTTATTCAGCTAGAAAGAGAACAGATTAAAATCATTTTGTGTAATACCAATTGTCTTCAGAGCTGAGCAATGGTGAGA